TCTACCCATGCACCAGTCAACACTCCAGCCTCCTTATGTACCCCAACCATTCTACCAAGGAAATCCAGCCATGTTGGCTCATTATCCCTCCACTGGGTATCAGCATCCACCCCTCAATATAGAAGGCCCAACATTTCCGGACTTCACCCAGGAGGATAGAGCTCAATATGTGGAGCTACGCCTTTCTCTTAGCACCCTTCTTCATCCATCTCAGTCCGAGCATTACAAGTATGCCATCTTGCTGAAGCATGTCAAGGTGCCACAAGCTCATCGCCTCGTGCTAGCCCATGCAGAGTCTAATATGCCCTACTCTGAAGCTCTGAAAGCGCTGGATGAACGCTATGGACGTCCATATCAGTTTGTGCTGAAAGAGATAGAGGACATGGAACGCCTACCCCCGATCCGAAGTGATAGGGCACTTGATGAGTTCTCCATTAGAGTGCAGTCGCTAGTCGGCATGCTGAAAGCTCTCAGAGGTGAAGGCCATGAGGAACTCCACTGTGGCTCAAATGTGAAGCGCCTTCTAAGCAGGCTCCCCAAGCACCAGCAAGAGCGATTTCGTCGTCAACAGTACAGGAAGGATCCTGATAAGTTGAAGCTAACGCTCACTGACTTTTCAGAATGGCTGAAGGCAGAAGTCAGACGCCTGGACATTGAGCCCTCACTTCAAGCTCACAGTGAGAAAGACAGGAGAGAATACAAGCAGCAGAAGTCCAATGTTAAGATCACTACTGTTATGCATGGGACAGGCAGTTCCAGTAACCATCCATCCAACACGCCCTCCAAGGTAGCTCATTCTATCCGAACCCAAGTGAAGGGTAAGATATACTGCCCTTACTGTGAGGCAGAACACTACCTCAGCCAATGTGAGAGTTTTGCTAAGCTTACCAAAGCAGAGATGGTGGATTGGATTAAAGTCAAGAGAAGGTGCTGGAGATGCGAACGTTCTCATCTAGCCTCCGCCTGTGACCTCAAGAAACTGTGTCGCCTCTGCAAGTCAAAGCACCTTTCTGTTCTACATGAGGTTAACCAGAGGAGTGAGAACGAGCCTACCATCATGTCGACAGCAGAGACTCACTACCTGGATCAGCCAAATAGATATAGCCAGGTGCTTTTGAAGATTGTCAGAGTCAATTTGCAATACCAGGATAAAGTACTCGACACATATGCAGTGCTGGATGATGGCTCTGAGAGAACCATCCTGCTTTCATCTGCAGCACGCCGCTTGGGAGTACAGGGTCAAGCAGAAGACCTCACACTCCGTACTATCCGTCAAGACATCAAGATACTGTCAGGCTCTCGTGTGTCATTTACGATTACTCCTGCTTCCCAACCAACGAAGAGGTTCTCCATTCAAGGCGCATTCACGGGTGAACACTTAGGCCTTTCTCAGTACAGCTACCCATTTACCCAGCTCCAAAAAAGATGTCGACATCTACGAGGTCTGGCAATTCCACCCATCGATGGAGCTCAGCCAACCCTCCTGATTGGATCAGATAATGCTGATCTGATCGTTCCAATTGAGCCAGTGCATTTAGGTCCCCCTGGTGGTCCTGCAGCGGTCAAGACTAAGCTCGGTTGGACACTCCAAGGCCCAGCAAAATACCTGCAGCAACAGCTTCCCACCACACAGTGCTTGTTCACCACAGTTTCCTCCCCATCTGTTGAGCTGTTCAGTCAAGTTGAATGGTTGTGGCAGTTAGATACACTGCCTTTCAAAAGTGAGAGGTTAGTGACCAGATCCAGACAGGACAAGTGCTCAGTGGACTTATTAGAGGCCGAGACCATCCGTGTGGAAGTGAACGGAGTGCATCGGTACGCTACACCCCTTCTACGAGTCCCAAACATGCCCAAGCTGAAAGTTTCAAAGGAAGTTGTGATGAAGAACCTGCGAAACACAGAGAAAAGGTTAGTGCAAGACCCACTGCGTGCATCTACCTACCGAGAGGAGATCAAGAAACTGGAGATTGCTGGGTATGTCAACAAGATTGACTCCTGTGAAGCAGACTCATCAGAAGAGTCATGGTTTCTGCCCCACCACATGGTCAGACACAATGGCAAGGAACGGATAGTTTTCAACTGCAGTTTCCAGCTTGGCAGACAAAGTTTGAATAACTACCTCCTTCCTGGCCCAGCCTTAGGACCCTCACTCCTTGGAGTCCTTCTGCGCTTCAGAGAGCATCGAGTCGCAGTAAGTGGTGACATTAAAGGGATGTTTCACCAGATCCGCCTTCTAGACAGAGACAAGCCCTTGTTGAGGTTCCTTTGGAGGGATCTAAAGACAGACGAACAGCCATCAGTGTACCAGTGGGAGGTCCTGCCATTCGGGACAACGTGCAGCCCCTGCTGCGCGATCTTTGCTCTATAAACACGTCAATGAGTCAAGTCAACCAGGGGAGAATGTCCGCCACAGTGTCGAACAGTGCTTCTATGTTGATAACTGCCTGCAGAGTTTACCCACTGTAGTAGAAGCAAGTAACCTTGTGACGAGGCTTAGAACCCTTCTAGCTGCAGGTGGCTTCGAAATTCGTCAGTGGGCCAGTAATCAGCCAGAGGTGATTTGCAACCTGCCTAAGGAGGCCAAGTCTGATAGCAGCGAAAGATGGGTTTCTGAGATGCATGGTGAAGCTCAAGAGATGACGCTAGGCCTCAGTTGGCACTTTATGGAGGACACACTCCATTACAGGCATCGCCCGGTTGCCCCAAGCCAGACCACCATGCGACATATCTATAAGATATTAGCAAGCCAGTATGATCCCCTAGGTCATATCCTGCCGTTCACCACAAGGGCCAAGGTTTTGGTCCAGAGACTGTGGGCCAAAGACCGCGACTGGGACGACCCTAACTTACCGGTCGACCTTCTGCAAGCCTGGACTACATGGGAAGAAGAGCTCCCTCAGCTCCCAAAGATCAGGCTCTCCCGGAGTTATTTCCCACTGGACGAGGATGTAAGTGCCATCACCCTCGAGCTTCACGTCTTTTGTGATGCATCAGAGTCCGCCTATGGGTCGGTTGCATACCTACGTGGTGAGGATCCTCAAGGCCAAGTCCATGTAGCCTTTGTGCTGGCACGCTCAAGAGTGGCACCGAAGAAACAACAGTCAATGCCACGCCTTGAGCTCTGTGCGGCCCTTACCGGAGCTCAGCTTGCCCAGATGATCCAGAGGGAGCTCACCCTTCAGTTGAGGGACACAGTGCTGTGGTCTGACTCCACCACCGTACTTGCCTGGATACAATCAGAGTCCTGCAGATACAAGGTGTTTGTAGGAACTCGTATATCTGAGATTCAGGAGCTAACAGATCACCGGGCATGGAGGTATGTGGACACTCAGAATAACCCTGCAGATCCTATCACAAGAGGGATGACATTATCCAACTTAGCCAAACCAAACCAGTTCAGCCAAGGTCCAGCCTTCCTCCGGTTACCACGTGAGAGTTGGCCAGCTACAAATTCTTTCGTGGAGGTCCCAGATGAAACAGAGATGCAGAGGTCTGCTTTCTGTGGGTTCATGTCAGCCATTACTGCTCCAGAGATCCCAGCCCCTGAAGACCACTCTACCTTTGAAGATCTCCTTGAGGCAACAAGTAAGTCCCTTCACGGGGCGGCCTTCCAGTCGAGCGCCCTCAGTGCGGATGACTACGGAGAGGCTGAACTCCGAATCCTTCAGAGAGCACAATATGATAGCTTTCTGGATGAAGTTAAGTGCCTAAAAGCAGGGAAAGCACTTCCATCTAGCAGTCGGCTCTTGTCACTTGCTCCAGAGTACGACGTCTTTATGGGCCTTATCCGAGTAGGTGGTAGACTGCGCCGTTCTACTAGTCTGGAAGAAGATGTCGTACACCCAATTGTGCTAGAACAGAAGAACCATATTACCAAACTTATCATACGACAATATGATAACAAGTTACTCCATCCTGGATCAGAGAGGGTCTTCGCAGAGCTCCGACGCAAGTTTTGGATCCTCCAAGGCCGCGAAGCTGTGCGTCGTCATCAGAGATCCTGCCCAGAGTGCCAGAAATGGAGAGCAAAGCCTGTTATTCCTAAGATGGCGGATCTACCCCCTTGTCGTCTCCGCCTCCTGAAGCCTCCATGTCACTCAGAAGGTTCGTGGCTAGACGAGGAACTCCCTTTGAGCTTCTCTCTGACTGTGGGACCAACTTCCGCGGAGGGGAGCACGAGCTTAAAGCAAGTTTTGAGGCCATGGGTGAAGAGCTGCAAATCAAGTTGGCTAAGCAACAGATCCGTTTCCAGTTCAATCCACCAAATGCACCTCACTTTGGTGGAGCCTGGGAGCGGGAAGTCAGATCCATTAAGGCTGCACTCTACGTCACTCTGGGAGCACAGACAGTGACCGAAGAAGTTTTGCAGACAGTTCTGATTGAGGTGGAAGGAATCCTCAATTCCAAGCCACTGGGCTACGTGTCAACAGATGTAGCCGATGCGGATCCTGTAACTCCCAACTACCTCCTCATGGGGCGGCCTGACTCTTCGCTTCCTCAGGTGGTGTACCCTGAGTCTGAGATTCTAAGTCGGAGAAGATGGCGGCACAGTCAGGTGTTAGCTGACCAGTTTTGGACCCATTTCATTCGTAACTACTTGCCTTTCTTGCAGTCAAGGCAGAAATGGGTAAAGGACACTGAGAATCTCACTGTTGGTACAGTGGTGATGGTAATTGACCAAAGGTTACCTCGGGCATTGTGGGCAGTGGGACGAGTAACGATGACCATTAGGAGTGTCGATGGTAATGTGAGGACTGCTGAGGTGCAGGTGGAAGACAGAACCTACACCAGACCGGTGGCCAAGCTTATTGAGCTGCCGGCCATCCCGGATAATGTCTCGACAACAGCTCTGGTGGATAGTTGAACCTTTCTAGAAGATAATTCACATCGTGAATTATGGGGCGGCTGTGCAAAAGGATCAAGTGATGTGAACTGGACAGAGCAGTACAGCGAGTGATCGATCAGACCACGCCCCTTTTCTGACATGTTGAGACATGCCGTGGTTTGCAGAGAACAGCATTCAGTTTAGTTTCACTTTGCAAGATAAGCTTCAGGTTGTGTTCGTGTGCGTCAGTGACCACAAGTAAGTTGTCATTAGTTATAAAGTATTATAAGTTAATAAGTGACTTTAGCATTTGATGTTAAATGTCAGTAACAGCCTTTTTCTCTATTATGTGTAGATTGTATGGCATTCTTATTGAAGTTCACATTTCAGAATATGTTAAGCCCTGTTTATTTAAATGACTAGAGAGAGTATTAGCCTCAGTTGTGTTGTTAGTTGATGTTATGATGTTAGTTGACATCAATGTTTATTTCCTTTTCTTTAGAACCACACCTACCACACCTACACAGTAAAGTTTATACATAGAAATAGTGCCTGTGCATCTGTATTAGGAAAGTATACATTAAAGCTTTCAACAAGTATTCCTGCCTTCCGTGTCCTGACTAGACACCCCATATTGGTGACTAATTTTCGCAACCAGTAGAGCCCCATTACACCTTGCTTGATACCTCTTCCATGTGATTGCTCATAAACTCAAGCGCCTCAGTCACACTGTTTAGCGGGGCCGTATTACCTTGCACGGTCTCCTCAAGGGATTGCATTCGATTCATGAATTCCAGTTGCATTTTTTCGACTCTCTCCAAAACTTCCATCAGGTTCAAATTGGACACCATCTGATTGTCCGACGCCACTCTTTCACCCAATTTTGATTTTTTGGCAGGCTGTCGAGGAGTTTCAGGCAGGGGAACTTTAGCTCCTGTTGCATTCTTAGCGTCATTCCCTTTGAACGAGGCATCCAGAGATTTCTTCGCGTACGAATGCATATGGCACCTCGAGTAGGCTTATCTTCATCCATTGCGCTCGTTGAAACGTTAAAAAAACGTCAGATCGAACAAAGACTTTCTCAGATCAATAAAGAAATTATTACTTTGTGCCCTTTTACATATTAAATCTTTTGTCAACTATATAATGAGTGCAGAGCTTCGGCACAATGTTACTCAGTCGCCATCTTGGCTCCTCCCTCCGGTCTCGGACTCGACCGTCTCTGGTCTCAGACTCGACTCGGACTCGACTCTCTATGGACTCGGACTCGACTCTCTATGGACTCGGTGTCGACTTGGACTCGACTCTCTCTGGTCTCGGTGTCGACTCGGACTCGAGTGAGGTGGTCTCGACTACAACACTGGCTAATGTAATGGAATACGTTACAAATGACATTTTTGGGCATTTATTCTGTAACGAAATTCGTTTTCCCAACACTGCCTACAGCTGAGGAAAATGAGCGGTGAACGGTGTGTTTCTGTCTTACTTTATGTAATTAACCTTATTGAGGTTTTCTTTTGCAAAATGTTAATTATTTCTTGACAAAAATCCATATTACCGCTATTAGCACTTCACTCTCTCTAGGATGGGGGAATCTAAGCTGAAATCTATATCATATGTTCCTTTAAAAAAATAATATTAATAATCTACATAAGACGCGTGTGAAATGACTAAAGTAGTGATTATGTTCACGAATCTATTACTTTCGTTCTCCATACATTAATGAGACCATTTAATTTAATTGAAAGGAGGGTTTCATTTGTCTGTCCAAAATAATAATTTGGGCAATACATCACAGGGAAGAAACAACTGTAGCCTATATTGTTTGTTTTGTTTATTCATTATTTTATTACATTAACAGTTATGCTGACTGAATTCCAACTAGATTGATGAATAAGTGGGACCCTTTCAATTAAATGAAATGTTCTCATTAATTTACGGAGAACGAAAGAAATAGAGTCATTCAGTAAATGAAACATTTTTACAAAAATGTAAAAAGCAACATGATGGCAGAGCTTTCAGCTTAGATTCCCTTATCCTAGAGTGGAGTACATTACTACTAAGTGCTAATGTCGATTTCTGTCTATATAATAAACAATTACCAAAACCTCAATAAGGTTAATTATAGATAAAGTTAGACAGAAACACACCTGTTCGCCGCTCATTTTCCCATGGGCAAAGGCGAGCAAATTGATCCCTTATCTTAGCGCCATCTACTGTTCTAGAAGAGGAAAGTTGCTCAACTGTATTTGTGAGAAAATCTGATTCTGCCTGGACGCGGAAAAATAGTGTCAAAAGTCACGTGACAGTTTTTCGTATTTGTAGAATTCTGTTTTGTACTTGTAGAATTTTGTTTTGTACTTGTAGAATTTTGCTTTGTACTTGTAGAATTTTCCTTGTAGAATTTTGCTTTGTAGGCTACTTGTAGAATTTTGTTTTGTACTTTTAAAGATTTTAGTTTGTACTTGCAGGATTTTGGTCATTGAAGAAATACGTTATGTAGGCTATATGTAAAACATACTGTATTTGTTTGATAGGTACGTTTTTTATGTGCAGAACAATATGCATTAGTTTGTGAGTGATGCTTTGCATTTACAAACCACACTGAGTTTGTTTGTAAATCATTGGGTGTGCGTAAAACACGTTTTGTTTGTGTGTGACGTTTAGGCACATAATGGGCTATAGACGAATCCGGCGAAACTACCGGAAGTAAGCGGGCGCCATTACTGAGCTGTTGCTGGGTAGCGTTGCGCCATTGCCTTCTATTGTTTTAGTTGCAACTTGCGTCCACTGGAATAAACAGCTCGAGATTTACGACTGACGCTAACGCTACAACGTTAGCCCTTGTATAATGTCGAGTGGGTAAACAGTTTCTGTTATAAATTGTTTCAATGGTGGCAGTAAAATTTCAATTTTGAAGCGAAAACATTGTGAATACCCCGGGTCGACTGCCCCTGTCTGGTGCCGTACGGTAAACACAGATTTCCTGGGCGAGTACAAGACGCGGACATTCGCGTATAATAACAATTATTTAATGACATAAGTAAAAAAATATAATAAATGTGTGATATAGTGATCAGCAAAATCTCCTCTCTTGTTATTTTTTCTATTCAATTTACATGCTATGGTCATTAAATGGCTTTCCTGAGCTAAATATAACGTTATGTGAAATAATTGTTCTCCTGCTGTTATATTGACCTCTTTCCATGGTTTAAAAACAGTAGTTGGTCAATATTGTGTATACTTTCTAGCTGTAACGTTACCTTACCCATGCCCGTTGCAATGTAAAAATTAGATAAATGACACAAATGAAAAACATGAATTTGTTTATTTGATTTCATTTATTTATTTATTGTTGCCAAATGGACAGATCTTTTTTTAGTTTCCTCGGTAGCAAACGTTAGCCTAGCTTGCTTGCCAAGCTATTTTCATAAATAATCTGTAAGATGGTTTGTACCTTCATCTGTGACTTGAGGCCAATGTCTAACATCATCAACCCAACAAGTCTGCCTGGCTGTAGCTGTCATCAAGGGTGCGTTATCACCTTATCTCCGAGGTTTGTTTACATCCCGGTGCATATGTCTATGCCGGTGTAACAGCTCAGTAATGGCGTCGCCACAAGATGGCAGCCTACACAAGAACGCTCGTCGGATTCGTCTATATGCACGCATAAGTTCCGCATTTGACGTAAGGATGCTCGTCCATTTCCGGTTGTGTAGATTAAAGCGGAGGAAAACCGGAGAAAACTGGATTATGGCAGAGTCTTCAATATTTACTGTCCTCCCGTCTTTGAAACGAAACGTACATACGTTTAGATGTAATTTTATATATAGTTATGTTTATTTAATATAATTTTAAAAAGAAGCATAAACACAACGAGGGGTGTCTGTTTTATCTGTTTTTGTGACTAACGTTTCATTAGTATAACCATGGAGTATAAAATTCAATATAAATTCTCGGTATTGCATTGGACTCTATGATCGGCGGAAGTTATCGAGCATCCTTAATCCTTCACCGGAAATCCTTCATGTGATTGTTAATAAAAAAAAAAAAAAAAAAAAAATAAACGCCGTGCATAGAGCCCATAAATCAGTCTCGTGAGGACAGGGGCTCGCCCTCGCGGCGCTGCGGGGCAGTAGAAGCCAAATCAGTCATGACTTGTGAGAGCAGGGGCTCGTCCTCGCGGCGCTGCGGGGTTGCAGAAGCTACATCAGTCATGAGTCAGACTCGTGAGAGCAGGGCACGCCGACGTTGCGGGGCGGCCGCAACTCAGTAATTCATATAACCTAGTTTGTGAATTGTTCATTCCCGGTTGGCACACATTTTGCAGCCCTTACAAAAGAGCCGCTCCCTGTTTACAGTGGATGTTCGATCATAGATTTGAGTTCGATGCATAATAGGCTTGCTTGTTTGAGATGCGCCTCGCCTCGCCTGCAATGTTGTCGAGAGTAGGCGGCTGCAGTGAGGGGAGGAGTGAAAAAAGCGCAATCAAGCCGGACAGATCTAGGTTCTCGCAGTGAATCAGACACCTGTGAGATCAAAGGCGGATATCGCGGGATTAACGGGATTCACGCTCGTGCACGTGTTGCTAATAAACTGGATGTGATTTAAGTTCTGTTGCTTTTATATAAAAATAAATATAATGTAAATAAAACCCAAAGTACTTGTTATTTAATTACATTCCAAATAGCCTATGGTTTATCAATCTTTTTTTTCTTTAATACAGACGTGTTTTTATATAGCCTATTGTTTTAACAAAAATGAAATATAACCCATATGGCACTGTCAGAGAGTTTATTCACCCATATGTATAAAAGAGAACAATTCATCTGTTGTTCTTTTATTTTTATTTTTATTTATTTTACTTTTTTATTAGAATGCAAGTTACAAACATACAAGCACCACAATTCGTGAAACAAATAGGCCTATTATACAGCGACAAATAGCCTACATAAACATCAGAATAAAATTAATAATAAAATAAATAAATCAATCAAAATAAGCTTAGCTTAAATAGACAGACTTACAAACTTCATCATCTATAAAATGAGAGCTATTTTTCACTTGAACATTTTAGAGTAGGCCTAGTATATTTGAGTTACTGACTATAGCTTTCTTATTTTTAACCCGTTTAAGAGATTCACAATATAGATCAGTTTCAATTTGAAAATAAATAAATAAATAAATAAAACATGGCCTTGATTTGGAGAATTTAGCTTAATGAATATGGAATTAACCTTCATCACTGTTGTTTAAACCAATGAGCATTAAGCTGTGTCGTCAGCAAGTCGTTTCCCATCATGCTTTTGATCAGCGCAGTCGGTGGAGAGCAACTGCGCGCGACTGCAGAATCCGACCCTTCCGCCTTGCGCTCGCGAGAGTTTTTTGACATACGTCGGCATGACATCAGAGCCAGGCGGACCGTTCTCGGACACATTTCTAACCGGCATGCATCTCGCGCTGATCACCGGTGATCGATTCTGCGCAGAATTTGCTCATCTCAAACAAGCCTTATGGCTGCGTTCCAAACCGCATACTTCCCTACTATTTAGTATGGAAAAAAGAGTAGGCGAGCAAAAAAGTATGAATGAATCCAAAAGAGTAGGCGAGAATTACCTGGGTGACGTAGTAATTGTCGCGAGATTCGGACTTAAGTGCGTTCCAATATGCCTACTTTCCTACTATATAGTAGGCGAAAACAGTACGTGAAGGAAGCAGTACGTTCGAAACATCAGTTTTCATAAAAAGAGTAGGCGAGAAGTTCCCGGATGGCTTACTGCTTCCGCCCAGATTTTTGAGTGCTTTTCCACGGCTACTCATGATACTCATCTATCCCAGGAGGCCACGCGAGAGGATACGTCAATAGCAACATCGCGGAGATAAGCGACGCGGGGGGTTTCAAATGTGAGTAAATACGGTTCCTTGTGTTTAAATCGTATGTGTTAAACTACTATAGAGTAAACGTTTTAACTGTTGAACGTCTAAAGGAGTTAGACAGTATAGTATAGTTGTGATTTTGCTGTAAACACATGTTTTATTATGTATTGATAACAGGGGAGCGTAAAGTTACGTTTCCAACGTGTATTTACATAACCATACATCTTAAATACGCTTATTTAAAATGTCTATTTACATCAGGAAGGAAAATATTGTATAAGTATTGCAGGTGAGCACATCCCAACATGAAAAATACATGTGTGTGCTGCTATTATGTAGGATAATTCACTGTTGTCAACACTGCTTACATTAGACAAATTATGTGCTGTGAATAAAAACATCTATAAAGTAACTAAACATGATATATATTTAATTTGTCCCTTATTGGTGTTGATATATTGAGGAACATTTAAGTTGGATTAAAAGTGAGTTAACACATCAACCTCAACATGTAAATGCAGTGTTGAGCTCGTAATGTGAATCTTGTATGTTACAGGGACAGGAGAACACGCGTGTGTTTATCCAGTGGAGAGAGGCTCATGATGCTGAATGCTGTCATCAAAGAATAGGAACCGCTGTGTTGAGTCGGCAGTAGGGTTTGGGGTTCAGTGCCTGTAAATACATGCTTGTAGTTTGAATAAAGCTGTTTCATGTGTTGACTTGTATATGCATTTGTTTATTGTGATGGTTACTTTTATTTGTTCTTTAACTCATTTATTCATGTTTCTTATTGTTGTCAGTATATAAAATGTAATTAATTTATGCATTAATTCATCGATTGACTGACAATTGAGATGTTTCACTGCATTTAGCAATATAAAATAATTCATGCATTACTGTCATATTACAAAACAAATTACATTTTGCTTGTTTTATTAAATTATATTTTTAGAATATAAAAAGTTATATAAGTATTGGTCAGCATTTAATTTTATTATTTTGTTTAAGTTTTGGGGTGGGCTAACAATGAAATTCATTCTGAGGTAATATTAATTTTTAAGCAGTGATACTTAAATTTTTTGAGTATAAAATCAACAGTTTTCTCCAAAAGAGATCTTCAAGCAGCTGCCCGTCTCCTTTGTGCAGACATTACAAACGCTGTTCTAGGTTGTGCTGTCAAGTTACTGATGTTATGAAGTGTTAGAGCACCTGTCGCTCATATAATTTAAACTTATTATATGCAAGATCATGGAAAGATACTATAGTTTATGTAACAATCATAGTGACAAAACAGAAAATATAAAGATCATTGGTTTGTGTACATCATAATATGACATAAAATTATATTTATACACAGGAAATAAGAACAATAAAAAAGGCTAAATATCTTCATTATAGTTCTTTATAATACATAAAAAAAGTTGTTGTTATATCTGAGGGATGAAACGAGGTAAATTCATGAAGAAAAAGAGGAAAACTTAAAGGAGAAACTTTTTGGGTATAAAATAAAGAAATTAACAACATAATCAAGAGATGATGATTTTGGGGTTTCTTAATAAAAAAAAATATCGTTAGAATAACACTGTTGGTCACATTAGTAGGGATTAAAATATAACAACTTAAATCAACCCTAAATGTATTCACAAAATAAATAGGCAGCTGTTTCTTCAACAATACCACAACAAAATGAGCAAGTTTCATCAATATCAAGATATTTATAGGTAGATTAATTAAACGTATCGTTCATATTTTTTTTTATTGCATGAAGGTGTTGCGCTTGTGATAACGCGTAGTAGGTCACATGATAACGTCAACATGGCAGATGTCCGGTTCGCATTCATACTCAACGAGATTTGGCTATAAAGTACCTACTCTTTTAGCGCTCGATGAGTAAGTACTTATTGAAATTAAGTACCTACTCATTGAGTATGCGGTTTGGAACGCAGAATGTCTCGATGCGGCCGTGTCGGCGCATAACATACGTCATAAATAAACTTATCTGATTGGCTTATGGGTAACCAATGATTTTAAACTTCAGAGAAGCGCGCCCTTGCGAGAGAGAAAACACTTCTCTGTCTGTTATGCCATTCTCTAGACCAGTGTTCCCAACCCTGTTCCTGGTGGCTTTCTCCCTTATCAAACACACCTGACTCAACCCATCAGCTCATAACCTCATAACCAGTCCTGCTCTGTAATTGAATCTATAAATTTGCGAGTGCATCAGTTCAGAAGCTTCAGAAGAGAAAATGGCTGTAATCGAGTCACTTCTGCAGTTTCTCAGCACAGGAACATTACTGGGCGCTTTGCTGTTGCTTCTGGTTCTGTATTTGCTTTCCTCTGGATCCAGATCTCAGAAAGAGGGGAAAGAGCCTCCGGGACCCAAACCTCTGCCGCTGCTGGGGAACCTGCTGACCCTTGACCTCGAGAGACCATTTGACACCTTTTTTGAGGTGGGAACTTGATATGTTTAAAATGAATAATGGTCTAACATTTTAAAGGAACACTCCAACTTGTTGGGACTTTAGCCTATTCACCTTACCCCCCAGAGTTAGATAAGTCCATACATACCTTTTTTATCTCCGTGCGTGCTATAAGTCTGTTTGATGCACCCACCGCTAGCCTTGCTTAGCACAAAGACTGGATGTGAATGGTTGCAGCTTTCATACTAATCCAAATGAGTGACAAAATAACGCAAACGTTTTCCTATTTACATGTTGTGATTTGTATAGTCACAGAGTGTACAAATAACAAAGTCAAATGAGACACAGACATCCTTTAACCGTATAAAACCTGGGAACTATTCTGAAGGCGAAGCACTACTTTGGCGGAGTGATAACCGCATCACCGGAGACACGCCGTGGTGGAGCGGAGAGTTCGCTCAGTGTTTGGGTAACAGTCAGCAATTTATAAATAGTAAAAGCGTAGTTTACAGTCATGGGTTTTTGCTCTATTGTAAATAGCTGCGACAGTAAATCAGGGGACGTAACCACAGAATTCCAACTAAAAACGCTGACTGGATGAAGAAATGGCTAACTTACTCTGGATATTGATCCAAACACACCTAGATTATCAAGGGACATTATGTTTGCTCGGTACATTTCAATGAGGACGATTATTTTGAAAAAATGGAATTTGCCACACGGACCATAATGTGCTGAAGGATACGGCTATCCCATCTAGCACGTACAGGACAAGTGGATCACCTGCGGCTGAGGTAAGTGTTCCGTTATGTTTTTAGATGACCTACTGTAACAGTGCCATTAGCCAGATCTAATGTAACGTTAGTGACACTATTATATGATTAGGGTGTGAATATGTTTTTATCTTGATGCGGCGCGGGCGCGCTTGGAAAAAAAACGAGCGCGTTGAACTTTGCACCCTGTGCGCCTAGCCTAAATTTAAAAAAATAACCATGGAAATAACGAACTTGAACGTGCAAAAGGGTACGATAGGCTGTTGTTCAGGCTGAGTTCATTGTGCAAAAACAATTTGTGCTATTACTTTCCCCTTATTCTATCCTACACAGCAAATTTTGGTTTTTGGAATAAACTCCCTGTTAGTTAAAATCAACTCAATCTGAGTGTACATGTGAGACCATCAATTAGACTCCAGCGCAGAGTTAAAATAACTCTGCTCTTGGAGTTGAATTTTTAACACTTTTTTCAGAGTTAAAATGGAGTTAAAATACTAATCCTACAGAGAGTAAATGTAACTCTAAAATTAATTATATGAACTCATTACCAGTGTTACCAGTTTAGTTTAACACTTCTTAGAGTTAACATTTATTTAACACAATATAATGTTTTGTGTGAAAATTACTACACTGGACACCATACTCTTGATTTACTGCCTTTATTTGAGCAAATCCATTTGGTTCAGACTTGAGGAGGAGTAACCTTCAACCGCTTGTTGCAGGACAGTCGTCTGAAGATCACAAAAACAACAGCATTAAGCATAATATAATCTAGCACCAATTCATTGAGAATGCAAAAATATATAAGCTGAAAATCACGCACTGGGTCACCACTAATATAGCCTAACGTTACATAGCTGTTACAATTCAATTGCCTGTAATGCATTGATGCATGAATTTCACGGCTAAACACTCATTTTCAGAAACACGGTGAATGGAAAGACGGTTAGCTAATGTTAACTCATTTACATTGACAAAAAACCCACGCAAATAGCCATTTCAAAATTTGAAACAAGTAATTTAAACATGCGTTCAACAGCAAGTTTGTCATGGTCGTTGACGTTAATTAGTAAACAAACTAGCCTGTAACGTAACAGCTACGCGATGACCAAACGTGTTTGTCAGAAAATATATATTTTTAAATAGTTTTATATAAGTTACACTTTTACCTACCTCACGACGAAGCGTATAAGTCCATTATTCATTTGTGCAGCGGCAGGGTCGTGTCGTGGCGCACTTCTCAAAAATAACTCCAGGTGTAGGCCTAGTGTTAAAACATGCTCCTGAACACCAATGAATGAACTCCAAAATACAACACAGCCGGGGAGTATCCAATAACACAAACCGTAGTCAGAGTTAAAAAAAAATAACTCCAAAAAATTAACTCTTTCACACTTTTTTGCCTAACTCATGATTTTTCAACTCCTGAAATTTGCTGTATAGTAATGCAATTATAGCTACTGTATATTATATGCTGTTGAATACATTTGGTTCAGCTAATAAATTACATTTAAAATATATTGATTCCTGTAATAATAATTGTTTATTCATGTTCTGTGATATTTATAAATCTGGATGCGTTTTTGGTTGGAATTCAATGAAACATGGTACTGTAGGGTTAATTGTGCCGATAGACGATATCGTGTATCGACGATAGTCTGACATATCGCCGATGGCAGATGCCTTTGAAGATATCAATAATGATAATTGGCTCGTTTTACCATAATGTATTAAATTATTATTATTAGGCCTATTATTATTATTATAAAGCTAGTATTGTTATTAAATGAATAACAATTGCAACAACACACGCACTAATGAGGACTCCTCTAAGAGAATGTTTTTAAAACAGACTAAAAAACATCCCACATCAAAATTTAATTGCAAGGTGATCCATTCACAAATTATCAAGTGTGCTCGTTTTAACAGACGCAAAATTCAATTTCCTACAGATCCAAGATGAAAACGGCATCGTTGTTCGTCAGTATTTGTTTCCGTAACACATTAACAAAACGTTTAATGACACTAACACTAAAAACAATACAATTAATAAATAGTATTAATAATAATATCACTAAAATAGTATTATAGTTACCGTTATCATCGTCGTCTCTGAGGGAACGCGGCATTAATGCAGATGCCGAAAGCAGTCCGTTTTTACTTTCACTTTCAGAGATAGAGCGCGTTTACATGCGACGACGTTCTTAACCTGATTATGTTGAATAAACTTGACAATGCATGTGGTCATGTAAACGTTTCCTTTATCAGAGTCAAGTCATAACTATAAGTATAAACCGATCGACTCAGCTAGACGTTTGGCTCTTGTTTCTATCGGCATTTAAAACACATTAACCCGCGTACTTCGTGCTTACTGAAGTGCGCATGTGAAGTGCGCGGAGAGCGCACTGTGGGGGGGCACATATCGTAAACTCCGACTTTTTCTGACCCAAGAAATTTTTAAAACGTGTTTTCATCTCGTGCAGAAATAGACCCTAGTCAAAATGCTGCATGTAACGGCATGAGGATAGGCTAATGTGTCCGTAAATTTCCTGTTGACAAACAATAGGATCTCTTTTTTTTTTACCTCACTATACCAGGAAATAACCTGATCCTATTAATAAACACTCCACCTTTGCTAGCAAAATAGAAAAAAGATTCTCGTATATAAAACGAAGTAGGCTAATAAAACAAGCAAATTAATGAGTTGAGTAGGCTAAATAATCAAGTTAATAATCAAATAAGTTAGCCCCGCCCCCTCACGATAATATCGTGTATCGCCGATCTCACAGGCTGACGATAGGACGATATGAAAATGGAGCATATCGCCCAACACTATGGTACTGTACTACCTGGTCTCCCCTGTTTATTGTCACAGCTCATACAATACAGCAAACACCCATGATAAACTATGCTTTTCTATCTAACGTTAGTAATTGCTGACTCTTTACTCCAACACTGAGCGAACTCTCTGCTCCTCGTCATGGTGCGTCTCAAGTGATGGTTATCACTCTGCCCAAGTATCAGTGCTTCGCCTTCAGAAAATATAGTATTTATATGGTTAAAAGATGTCTGTGTCTCATATGGCCTTGATATTTGTACAGTCTGTGACTATACAAACCACAACATGTAGAAAAACGTTTGCGTTATTTTGTCACTCATTTGGATTAGTATGAAAGCTGCAACCATTCACATCCAGTCTTTGTGCTAAGCTAGGCTAGCGGTGGGTGCGTCAAACAGACTTATAGCACGCACGGAGATGAAAAAGGTATGTATGGACTTATCTAACTCTGGGGGATATGGTGAATAGGCTAAAGTCCCAAAACGTCGGAGTGTTCCTGTAAGATTTGTCTGTAAATGTCTTTCTCTGTGTCCTCCAGCTGTCCAAAACCTACGGAAACATATTCCAAGTGTGTTTGGGTCCCAGAAAATTTGTTGTTTTAGTTGGGTACAAAACTGTCAAAGATGCTCTCGTGAACCATGCAGAAGAGTTCGGCGACAGAAAAACTGAACTTGGTTTCAGGATAATGCACGGCGAACATGGTAGGATTCTTTGTCGTTGGGTTTTTTTTTTTTCTCAACTCAACAGAAACGTAATGTACAGAACAAACTGTAAATGTTGAAAAACAAACATGTTGCAAATCCTTTCAGTTCCTCGTGGCATCTCAAGACTAATGTCATATATATTTTTAAGAAACATATAGCTGCATTTATCAATATACTGTAAAATCGAATTAGTTAAACTTACTTAAAAAAGCATGCAAACTGATTGCCTTAAAAAAAACTGAAATGGGAATAGAAGTGTGTACTGACAAATTTACATTTGCTAATTTACATTTGCATTTTGAGTACCCAGAAAATCGCTATATAAATGTAACAAATTATTATACTTTAAAAAAATCATTATTGTTACAATTAATACAAAAAAATAACATTTCATTGTTTCCATTGTTTTGTTATGCATGCGGAATGTTGAAGTCTTTGTGTGACTCAAGAATTGTCAATTGCAAGATATTTTCACAAATATCAACCCAATTAAAAGTTTCACAAGTGTTAGCAATAAAATTGTAAAAGATCATTATTCAACAGGAAACATAAAGTTAATGATTTATTTAGAAGTTTGGTAACCTTTTAAAGGCATTCACTAAATAGCTGAGATTTCTTGTTGCATCAATGGGAAGAGAATCACAATAATATAAATGAAGTTGCAGGGAATTAATAACAACAATGTTCTCTCAAATTTCTCACTTGTATTTACAATTCAGTATTCAAGATGACTTTGGTAAATTAGTGAGATAACTGCAGAAGTGAGATAATAAGTGAAAAAGCTATTAAGAATTGCCCGCCTCAAAACCATTGTTGCTTGACAAAATGGCACTCAAAGCAATCAATTAATCTTAACATGGGAGTTAAAAAGTCAGTATGTGAATAGTACAGTTTACTAGATTTTTACAATTAAGGTAAGACATTAAGTAAAGTTAACTAAAAAGGGTTGGTTAGAACACCTGTTGAATTTTGCAGTGTAGTCAGTGGTGAAATGACTTATTAACTTATTAACTTGGCATACAGTGAAAGCTTGCTTATTATATGCATTATATAAGTCCCAACGATCTAACGTTAATGTAATCCTTATCTGCTTGTGTTGTTGCTGAGACTGTTTTTGTTTGTGTTGATCAGGAATCATTTTTTCCAATGGAGAGAACTGGAGAGAGATGCGACGCTTCGCTCTCAGCAACCTGCGGGACTTCGGGATGGGCAAGAGAGGAAGTGAAGAGAAAATCATAGAGGAAATTCACTATCTGAAAGAAGAGTTTGATAAGTTTGAAGGTACAAGCTGAAACACATTTATAGACATCTGCAATCGTGCTCTTAGTTTAAAGGGATACTTCACCTCTGGGAAGATGAATGTGTATTTAATATTGGTCATTTATCCACAAGTTTCCTACGCCCCATGAGGCCTTGCGTCAAAAGTGGGCGCGACTTCCGGTTCGAAGTAAACAAAGCGCGACTTGACATGCTTGACACTCGTTCATTCAACAGTTGACAGTCATTCAAGTTATAGCGATCCAAACTAGCTAACGATGTGGGAACACAACCTCAACGAAATTCAAAAGGGTGAAATAACAGTACCTTTACCCTCTGCAGTAGTTGATTGGGAGTATTATAACATTATTAATAATCAATACTCACATGGCATGGTGAATTGAAATAAAAAATACACACTTTGTGCTTTGGAGTTTTTTTCAAAATTATAAATGAGTGTGCTACTTGAATACATTAACTGGCACATTTGGTATTCTGTCAACACAGGCTTTGATCCTGAGTTTAGGTGTAACGTTAACATCAGTAACGAACAGCCAATCACATGCTGATAGAGTTTATAGAATATTAAGAATTTAAACAAATGTACACAGGAAGATTCGTCATCTTTTGGGAGGTGATGGAAACTACAGTCGTTGGCAGGATCACTCTGATTTCGTTTTCGGCTTATGTTCAAAACAATCACGTTTAAGCCACTGAATTAGTTTAGTCTGGTTCTACATACAACCGCGAACAGCACATGTTGTCCCTGAGCTCCGTAACGACATCTCTCATAAAGATTTGCGTCTTTAAATAGTAAAATAATTCTCAGAAAAACAGCTAGCCTCTTCGCTAACTAACACACAAAAAACATTGGAATGCTACTTCCTCACCGGAAGTTTTACCCACTTTATTTTTTACAGGAGCGCCCCTCGGAAACTTGTGGATATAGTAGAAATGTGAAATTATTTTTGAAATTGAAGCATTGTAGACTGAGAAAAGGCAGAAAATGTATTTTTTATTCATGTGGCTGAAAGACGACAACTCCTAGAATGTACTTTCTTTGCTGCCCTTACGAGGCCATCCCAAACCACGCCTACTGGCTACAGGCGTCAGAATCCAAAAAATGGATACAACTAGGCTTGCTTTGATACATCGTGAGTTACTTGATAAATTTCCATCGAAATGGTGCTAAATTGCATTGTACTGGGATGTACTAGCCTAATGTATATAACACAACTTAGACTTTCACATTAAAAATATGATGCAGGGCAGGACCATGTCAACAGAGTAGCTTAGTAGCTCTGCTTATGAACTGTTTTCCTCCAATTGAAATCACTATTTCTCTAAGCTAATACATTATCTAGGCTAATCCATACTCTACTAACACTAAATGTTTATAAAAAGAACCACAACCTATGTGAGTTATAACTTTTAATTAAAAAATAATTAATATCAACACTTTTACACTCAAAGCTCTGCGGATTCAGCATTCTCACCAGAAGAAAATGGCATCGCTGTGATTCAAGACAGCAATAGGACTATCTGTTTCCATAGGCGCACAGCGAAAGCACTCACACCGCCAGTCCGCCCCTGCTCAAGTCTGGCTGGGCTCAGGTCTTGCTCCAGCCGCCTCTTGTTCCTCCATCTCCCGCATCTGTTTATCGCTGTATTGCGGCTCGTATATGTAGCCGGGAGATTCTTGCCCGCCCCTGCTCGAGTCTATCTCGCTCCAGCCGCCTCTTGTTCCTCCATCTCCCGCATCTGTTTATCGCTGTATTGCGGCTCGTAGAGGTAGCTGGGAGCATCGATTCTCGCCCGCCCCTGCTCGAGTCTATCTCGCTCCAGCCACCTCTTGTTCCTCTGTCTCCCGCATCTGTTTATCGCTGTATTACGGCTCGTAGAGGTAGCCGGGAGCATCGATTCTCGCCCACCCCTGCTCGAGTCTATCTCGCTCCGGCCGCCTCTTGTTCCTCTGTCTCCCGCATCTGTTTATCGCTGTATTGCGGCTCGTACAGGTAGCCGGGAGCATCGATTCTCGCCCACCCCTGCTCGAGTCTATCTCGCTCCGGCCGCCTCTTGTTCCTCTGTCTCCCGCATCTGTTTATCTCTGTATTGCGGCTCGTAGAGGTAGCCGGGAGCATCAGATTCTCGCCCGCCCCAGCTCGAGTCTGGCCTGGTTCAGGTCTCACACCGGCCGCCTCTTGTTCCTCCATCTCCCGCAACTGTTTATCGCTGTATTGCGTATCGCACAGGTAGCCGCGAGCATCAGATTCTCGCAACAGATCTTCGAAATCCCTTCTGCCATTTCAACTTAAAAACTACTTCCCACCATCGTGATTAGCCTACTATACAAACTTTCTAAACAGACCAAGAGGAGGAAGCCTGTTAGCTTAGCTTCTACAGAAAGATGGCTGACACGATCTTTACAATCTGTGAGTGAGATCCCGCCCCATATGGGCGTGTTGAAAACATGCGGAACGCTGGCTGTAGTCTTTAGCCTCTGGCCCAAATATCCTCCGATGACGCAAAATGACGATTTTTGTGTCATCGGAGGATTTTTTTCCAGACAAAAAATTATTTTTCTTTCATATCAGGGGATAATTTGAAAATACTACTGGTTTTCTACTGATACTAAGCTTAATGCTAAATCCTGAGGTATCCCTTTAAAAATCCGTTGAGAGACATTTGTTT